GGTAAAATGAAAAACTGAAGTTAAGGGTTTGAAAGACACAGTCAAAGAAGCTATTGGAATTCCTTCTCCAGAACACACATTGTGATTGCATTACGGTCCATCATCCCCCATCCACCAGCAAGAATCTACCACAGGAAAGGCTTACTAAGCCCATGGTATGGTCCAGATTAAACAGGACAGCATAAGGTCTCAGGACCCTTGGGCCTACTCACCACCACTGCTGTGGAGAAACAGTGAAGTATTCCTCAAGTCCATAGGCTTCCCAGCAGAAAGGGCAGAAGCAAAGACAGACCAACAGATAGACAGACACACCCATATGCACCTGGGTACCACTAGGCTGATGAGAAAGAAATGGAGAAGAGACTCAGTAAAAATATTATGGGGAGGGATAGAAGGGCCAACATAAAAAAAAGGGGGGAAGGGACAGTGCAGATAAAATGGAAGGGAGGGAATCATCACCAAGATTATTCAAGAAAAGACCTTATAAATGAAAGACATGAATTATTGCATTGAAAGAACCCATTGGCTATTCACAATGGGTGGAAATAAATCCATGCCAGTTTCAGAATTCTAGACAAAGAAGATTTCAGAAGTTTATAGAGTTAGAAGGCAGATAATACAAAGGATCACAAATCAGAATGGTTTAGGGCTTATCAAAACAAAACTGGCAGCTAGAATTACAGAATTCTAACCTAGGATCTTGTAGTTGGCCAAACTACCAATGAAATATAATGATAAAATACATCTTAAATTCTCAAAAAAAAAAAATAGCCCATAAACTATCATACAGAAACCTACTGAAGGATGTATTTGACCAGAGTGAGAGTAAACCAAAAAGGAGGAAGACATGAAATTAAAGCCAGGAAATCCAACATGGAGAGAGGTAAAAGCAGTTCCCAAGGTGAAGAGAAAGGGAAAGATTTCGTAGATCATAGCTATACACTAGTCAGGAAGGCAGTTCAGAATGAAGCACTGTTAACTCCAGACACAGATGTGTTGAGAACCTTCTGTAGTATACATTCTCATACCTGATAATCATGAGTAGTTTGTCCCCAGAATCTTATCTGTACTTAGTTTGTAGGGACCATGTGCTGATGAAATTCGTGCTCTCTCCGGTGTATCCTGCTACCTGGATAACCAAAGACGTTCATTTCACCCCACAGAAGAATTTTGCTTTGACCTTCTGCTGAGAGCTGAAGATTGGCCCTGGTAAGTAAGCTTAGAAGCAGAAAATAGAGAGTACCATCGCCCCACTGGTCATATTCTGTCACATCTCAGCTCCTGACCCACACTGACACCCTGTGAGATACCCTCACTGTGTTGAGTCCTATGTTTCCTGAGACTCGTTTTTGCCTCCCCTAAATGGGGTTATGATAAACTGTTTGAAAAGCTGAAGACATCATCGTCTAGGAGATGTTCATCAAACAGCGAAAATAATACTTTTTTTCCATGCACAGCCAAGTTTTTGCTTTCCTGATGGTTTTTAAATTACTTTATCATTCATCTATATGTAGATGCCTGTAGTTAAAATATTTGAGAAAATCTGTTCTTGTCATTCACCATATTAAAAATTGCATGAAGATTGCAATAGATTTAGAAAAAGCATTCCCTAAAATTCAATAGCTACTTACAATCTAAAAACAAAATAAAGCCCTTTATAAATGACTAATAGAAGGGAACTTTCTTAACCTGTAAACTCTATAGCATCTAACACATTTAGTCATGAAATGTTAAAAAAAAAATTCTCTTTAAAATGAAGAATAAAACAGGAATATATATTATCACCACTTCTATTCAGCATTCTCCTGGCCGAAGGCCTATCCAACATAGTATTTGCAAATGACATAATCATGTACAGAAAATGTCATAATACATGTACCAAAAAAACTACTGGAAGCAGTAAGCTGGAATTCAACAAGGTCATGAAATTCAAATGAATATTCAAAAATCATATTTCTATGCACTAGCAGTGGAACAACTGAGAAATAAAATTTCAAAAGTACAATTTCCAGTAGCATCAAAAGAAGTCAGATGTTTAGGGACTAAATTTTGCAACAGGATGCAAGACATGCATATGGGAAACTAGAATGAACTGTTTTTTGCTGAAAGAAATTAAATAAGCTCTAAATAAATGGATAGATGTACCATTTTCATGGATTAGAAAACTCAGTATTATTGTCATTTCTCCCCAATTGATCTATAGTTTTAATGCAATCACAATCAAAATCTCAATAGGCTTTTTGGTAAAAATTGAGAAACTGATTCTGAAATTTACATGGGAATACAAAGGATCTAGAAGAACCAAAACAGTTTTTAAAAAGAACAGCAAAGTTAGAGGACTTACACTCCTTGATTTAGTCTGTGCTATGCTAACCAAGACAATGTGGTATCGGTGGTAAGAATGAAATACAGATCAATAAAACATCCAAATATACACCACTCATCCATACCGACCTCATGTTAAGTAAACATTCAGAGGTAATTTTGTTGGGGAAAGGATAATCTTTTCAATAAATTGTGTTGAAACAACTGTATATTCTCATTTTTAAAAATGAACTTAAGGGCACCTGGGTTGCTCAGTTGGTTAAACATCCTACTTCGGGTCAAGTCATGATCTCACAGTACATGGGTTCGGGCCCCACCTCAGGCTCTGTGCTGACAGCTCAGAGCCTGGAGCCAGCTTCAGATTCTGTGTCTCCCTCGTTCTCTTTCTGCCTCTCCCCCACTGTGTTCTCTCTCTTTCAAAAATAAACATTTAATAAATAAATGAACTTAAACTCATGCCATTACAGAAATTCCTAGAATTGAATCATATCCCTACGTATAAAAGCTAAAATTATAAAACTTCTAGCAGAAAATATAGAAGTTTTTAAATTTTTTTAATGTCTTTATTTTGAGAGACAGAGAGTGAGCAGGGGAGAGGCAGAGAGAGAGGGAGACATGGAATCTGAAGCAGGCTCCAGGCTCTGAGCTGTCAGCACAGAGCCCAACGTGGGGCTCAAATCCACAGACTGTGAGGTCATGACCTGAGCCGAAGTCAGACACCCAACCGACTGAGCCACCCAGGCGCCCCAAAATATAGAAGTTTTTGCAGCCTTTGATTGAGGGAAGTTATGTAATAGGACACAAAAAAACTATAATGAAAAAATTGTTAAGTTGAACTTTATCAAAATAACAAATTTTTATTCTTCAAAAGACATTGTTATGAAAATGAAAGGCAGGGGTGCCTGGGTAGCTCAGTTGGTTAAACATACAAATCTTGATTTTTGTTCAGGTCATGATCTCACGGTTTGTGAGTTTGAGCCCCATGTGAAGCTGTGAGCTGACAGTATGGAGCCTGCTTGGGATTCTCTCCCTCTCTCTGCCCCTCACGTACCTGTGTGCGCGTGCTCACTCTCACTCTCTCGCCCTCTCGCTCTCTCAAAATAAATAAACTTAATAAAAAGAAAATGAAAGGCAAATCACAGACTTGGAGAAAATACAAAATATATACTCAACAAAAGGCTTAATGTTTAGATATATAAAGAACTCTTAAAATTACAAAAAAGAACTCTTAGAACTCAAGAAGGCAAATAATTTTTTTAAATAGGCAAAGATTCAACAAACACTGTATCAGGGAAGATACATGGATGGCAAATAGCACATAAGATGTTGAATAACATTAGTCACCAGGGAAATGCAAATCAAAATCACAATGAGGTAAACCTCACTTAACGACTACAAGGAACAACTAAAATGAAGCAAGCAAAAACAGATGTTATACTAAGTTTTGGTGAGGATGTAGAACCGAAAACATACACTGCTGGTGGGAATGTAAAATGATACACACTTAGGAAAACAGTTTAACAGTGTCTTAAAAAGTTTAACATTCACCTGCCATTCAGTACAGCTGTTCCTCTCCTAGCTTTTCCCCCCGAGAGAAATAAAAGCATATGTTCATGCAAAAACTTACTTATCAATGTTTGTAGCTATTTTATTATAGAAAAAACTGGAAACACCATAAATGTCCACCAGCATTTGGACAGGTAAACAAATTGTGGTTTGTCCATACAATGGAATACTACTCAGCACTAAAAGGAGATGAAATAGTGATACATGTAACGACATGGATGAATTTCAAAATAATTATGCCAAGTGAAAGAAGCTATGCAATGAAGAAGATCTGTATTATTCCATTTATATAACATTCTAAAAATTGCAAATTACACTTTGGACTTGGTGGATATGTGGATTGTGGTATAAGGTTCACAGATATATACAGATATACTGGTCAAATGTACACTTGAAATATATTCAGTTTAACATAAACCAATGATACCTCATGGAAGCTATAAAAATATATAAGCTATTGTTCTTGTTTTGGGCAACTCATAAAGCTTCACTTTTCTCATCAGTGATGTGCAAAGAGTAACACCTGCTTCACAGGGTTTATTTGAAGATTTTATTCATATGCTTGTGTATCTAATTTACTATGATGCCTACCTGACACACCTGTACAGGTAACTCAGTCAATGTTAATTCTGTTCCAGCAACCCTGCCTCTTTCAGAGGACTGATACGGTTATTGGGGGCCTTCAGATTACTTTCTCGAAGCCCATAGCAAAGTCTTAATGGCACATTCTTTCTCATTTTTTTTTAGTGGCTAAATCTAATAAGGAAGTGTATTAGAGAATTTAAAGATAGGTATGCTTTTAAGACTAACAAAAACCTTTCCTTCTCGGAGCACCTGTGGCTCAGTCGGTTGAGTGTCCAACTTTGGTTCAGGTCATGATCTCGTGGTTCGTGAGTTCAAACCCCTCATCAGGCTCTGTGCTGACAGCACAGATCCTGCTTCAGATCCTCCATCTCCCTCTCTCTGCCCCTCCCCTGCTTGTACTCTGTATCAAAAATATACAAACATTAAAAAAAAAACTTACCTTCTCATGAAAGTGATGGCTTCAAGCTCTGATAATGACAGGAGTTGACAAAATTTCATTTTGCTTTTCCCCTTTTTTCCCACAGGGTGTATCCGTGGCTCAGAGGACTGGGTTATACATCCTTGGGTATATTTTTATTGGGATTTCTATTATGGAACATAGATAACATATTTTGTGATTCACTGAGGTAAGATGTGAATCTTTTTCAATCTTTGAGAAATATTTTTAGAAACAGTCTATAAGCAGAGAATTTCATAGACATAAAGAATTATTAGTGCCACAAAGTGAATTTTTGCCATTGTTGAAGTTAAAAAGTATGTATAGCACAATAAAGTTAAATTCTGAGAATACTTGTTTAATTAACCTAAAAATTTGGACCCAAGACTATTTTTTAACATCTGTAGGGATTTTTGTGTGCACGCATCACAGAACTATAGAGTTAATCAGACATTAATTAGGCCTCTTAAATCTGCCTAATCTGCTGTGTTGAAGAAATAAGACTGATTTGTAAGAAGTGTGGGAAATATATGTATATAATTTTGTACTTTAATGTACTTACTTAATGTTATTTTCTAAGAAACGCAAGTGTTCCTTTTTCTATCTTGTCAGCTATTATGTATTGACTAGAGTTTGAATTTTGGGTCTCAGGATCCTAGTCTGTCATTAAAATACTATATTTCTGGGCCTCAATTTCCATAAAGTGCACGTTAAATAGGTTCAAACTAGTGGGTCCTTCCAGTTCAAAATTCTGTGTCCTAAAGTTTTGCATGAACACATATATTGAATAGCACCAGGGAGAGGCAGTTTGCAAAATTTAGACTGTGAGAAATATATAGGATGAATGATCTGGTTTCTTCAGCATAAGTTGCAGAGGGGGTAAAAAAGGGAGGAGAAACATAGATTAAAAGAGACCTAAGAGACTTACTGTATCAACCAAATGTCATATGTTGATTTTTTTTTTGAATCTTGATTAAGCAGACAAACTGTAAACAAACAAGCAAACAAAAACAAAACAAAACCAAAATTCTAAACTTACAAAACAATTGTAAGTTTGATCAGTAATTGATTATTTGGTGATATTAAGAGATTATTGTTAATATTTTATATGTGAAAATGGTATTATGGTTATGTTTTAAAGAGGTTTTAATCTCTTAGAGACACATACTAAAATATTTAGAGTTAAAATACAATATCTGGGATTTGCTTCAAAATATAGAAGGGGAGAAGCAGATGAGAGTTCACATGATTGGCTGTTAGTTACAATTGTTGAAGCTGGATAATGGGCACATTATTATTTTGCCTATTGTTGCCTATGTTTGAAATTTTCCATAATAAAAAGTTAAATAAGTAAATTTAGATTTTTCAATGTACACAAATAAGTAATATACCTAGCTTAGAAAACTGAGGTCTGAGTGAGTAGTTCTAAATCAGTAATACCCATCAGAAACCCTATTACAGAAGGCATTTACACTGTTGAGATAAGTTATCATCCTCTGGGTGAATGCCACCAAGAAACAAAGTTCTTAGAGACAGCAATTGTCTCAGAAATTCATGGGCTATCTAGAAAAATAGTTCGGTGTTTCACATTGATATTTCCCATTCTAATAAATGAGAATGTTAATATGCTACACACTTAATCAAAAAATCTAGAATTTGAGACTCAGCTGTGCCACTTGGCTGAGTGATTTGGCCACCTTGGTGTCTGAATTTTAGTTCCTCACATGTAAAGCAAAGCTAATAATAGCCACCTCAGTGTCTCACTATTAAGTGAAATCTTAGTTACAAAGGCACTTCGTAGACTGGACAGCGCTCATCTGAGAGGATGGTTACACATAGGAGAAGCCTGCTTCTGGCTTCCTGAGTGAATAGCTAAGTAGACCAGTGTTTCCCAAGTTGTGTTCCAGGAAACACTTGTTCCACAAAGTCTTAGTAAGGTATTACATTATGAAAGCATTCTTTGCATTAGTATATTACCTGAAAAATATGAAAAGAAACTCTTAGAGTTATGATAGGACTTCTCCATAGGACTGCTGTTAATATACACTGCAGTCTCCAAGAGGGGAATAAACTATGTACTATTTCCCACATTTTTTTTGACACAGAATAATTTCTTCATGGAACTTCTGCTAGGAATGCTGTTCCTCAAAATACACTTTGGAAAACAATATGGCAGACTACAGCAGATTAAGGAAATTAAATAATTGCCATGTTTGAGAGTCACATTTTAAAATGTTTACAGGCTGTCAGCAATAGTTGCTAAATTTAAAAAAAAAAAGATAATAACATAGTGACTTCTTTCCCCCTCTTCACAGGAACTTTCGAAAGAAGATGCCACCTATCATAGGTGTTACCACACAGTTTCATGCATGGTGGCATATTTTAACTGGCCTTGGTTCTTATCTTCACATCCTTTTCAGGTAGGAAATAGACATTGTTTTAGCAGAGTGTTGAATGAAGTGTTTATTCCTTTACTCTTCAAATAGGATGGTGTAGATATAAAATGTCAGAGACAAAATCAGGAACTTATGTTCCAGCTTTGGCTCTGCCACTGGGTCACCTTTGGCAAGTCCCTTCCCCTCTCTGCAGCGCTTAGTTTTCTCATCCTTAAATTTAAAAAAAAATTTTCCTGGTTTTTTTTTTTTTATTTTTTTTATTTTCAGGGAGATAGAGCATGCGCACATGCACAAGCAGGGAAGGAGCAAAGATTGGGGGAAGGAGAATCCCAAGCAGGCTCCATGCTGTCAGCACAGAGTCTGATGCAGGGCCAGATCTCATGAACTGTGAGATCATAACTGAGCCAAGATGAAGAGTTAGATGCTTAACCAACTGAGCCACCCAGGCCGCCCACTTTTAAACTGAGATAATTGTATTAACTGACCTCTGACATATGATCCACATTTTAGAGCAAGAAGGATACAGACATTTCCGTTTCATGTTTATCAAAGTATCTTTGTTTACAGAGAAAAAATTTAGAGGGGAAAGAACAGCCAGATCCACTGAGTAGGGGACTGGAGTATGAGTAAAGCATGAGTGTCGGAAGTCCCCAGCTTAATGTGTCTCCTTCCCTGAAATAAGTTCGTTGCCACTTCTCATCCCCTACTCCCCCCTCAAATGATTGTTGGAGGTCACTTATAACAAAAATGAAATTAAAATTCTCTCTGATCACCCTATTCAAATAATACCTCCATCTCTGTCTCCTTTTACCAGGCCTTATTGTTCTTCAGAGCATTAATAAGCAGTTATATATCTTTACTTGTTTGCCTCTCCCAGCTAGACGTTAAGTTCGTGGAGAGCAGGGACACTATCTTATTCACTGCTGTCCTCTCAAATGCTTAGAACAGTACCTGTCAGACAGCAAGCACTCAGTATATATTGTTAAATAATTTAATGAATGAATGTGTACCTGTTGATCTCTTTACTGGGGGGGTCAGACTATGTTCAATCTCAAATTCTTCTTAAGGGTTGAGATAGCTGAAATAATTCTAGAAAGGGGAAGAAAATTGATTCCCCTTGAATCAATGTGAAAATTTGTAGAATACCTCCACAAAATAACATTTGCATCTCACCTCTCTGGAGATCAACCTGTTTAGGCATTCTGAATTATCTAAAATATAACGACCTGAGAGGCACCTGGTGGCTTAGTCAGTTAAGCATCCGACTTCAGCTCGAGTCATGATCTCACGGTCCATGAATTTGACCCCTGTATCAGGCTCTGTGCTGACAGCTTGGAGCCTGGAGTCTGCTTTGGTTTCTGTGCTCCCTCTCTCTGACCGCCCCCCCCCCATAAAGAAACATTTTTTAAAATGTTTTTCAGGGCGCCTGGGTGGCTCAGTCAGTTGGGCGTCTGACTTCAGCTCAGGTCATGATTTCACGGTTTGTGGGTTCGAGCCCAACGTTGGGCTCTGTGCTAACAGTTCAGAGCCTGGAGCCTGCTTTGTCTCCCTCTCTCTCTGCCCCTCCCCTGCTCATGCTCTGTCTCTCTTTCTCTCAAAAATAAATAAATGTTTAAAAATTAAAAAAAAATTTTTTTCATATAATTACCTGAGAATTATAGAAAAGGAACTTCTGGGCAGCTAAATAAGAATCACTGAATTAATGGTGTGAAGAGCTCAAAACCTTGAGCTCTTAATCATGGAAGAGCTCTTAAACTTTGGCTGTAAGTATATTTATTTTATATTTTGTCACTTGTTACTACATTGATTATTTGAATTCTCAGCCCATAGCACATTAAAAATATCCGATTTAAAAGAGAAGGGATGGGAAATGCTTGAGGAAATTGACAAATGATAGAAAAAGAGAAACAAGAATAATTGTAAAATTCCTGAGAATTACAAATTTAGCCCCTTAACGCTGCCCAGGTGGTCCCAAGGACATTACTGCAGTGTAATACAATACAGTAGTAAATTTCTATAATAAATACTCAGGAGGAGGTGAAAGTATACTTATCATATTCTCTTGTTTCCTTTTACACCTTCCCCTCACCATCTCCCTTTCTCTTGCTCCTTCTCTCCCCCTGGTATGGAAACCAGGGTAAGGAGGGGGAAGAAGTGCTGTGCAGAGATGGCAGCGTTTAGTGTCCAAGGATTGCAGACAAGGGGTCAGCGGTGGCAGCATGCTGCGCTTCCAAGAGAATGTGGGGGTGATGGAGAGGTGGCTGCCACGTGGGGCAGGGAAGCAGGGTGGTGAGGGGAAGTGATGTGGTGGGCAGGCGGACAAGGTGGCTGGAGTTAGGAAATGGGTGACACTGAACAAGTAAATCAGTCAGTCAGACAATAAATAAATATATGGAGGATGACCAAAGCCTGATTTCTCCACTGACTCAGAAGGGATTTACAAATACTGAAAGAGGAAAAGCTAGAATGAACCTTGAGAGGGGGTTAGATTGGAATTAAAAGTATTAGTATGAACTCATGAGTATGTGACACACACATATATACATACACACAGATGTAGAACAAGTTGGATGTGTATGTGTGGCATATGTTATAAATATATATGTATACATATGTTTACACATACCTGTATTGCCTAGCTCTGAACCCTGTGAAGGCTGAAAGGCAAGCACGCTCTGGCCTCTTAAACCTGAGATAGCTTGAATATTGAAATTAAATAGCAAGAGGTTCAATTACAGCCCATTGAATAAAATGAAAATCTGTGAGCACATACTAATATGAACAAATGAGAAGGAAAAGCTCTTCCTCACAAAAGAATGCTAATTAACAAAGGTAGAAGGAACAACGGGCACAAACGATGACCATTTGGCAGCCATCTTGGGAGATAGTTGATAGGTATAAGTCACCAATGGATGTTCTGGCTGACAAGTGGGAGTATGATGAGGAACACATATTGGTGTGATTTAGAGTATCTCCCCATGAAATACTAATACAAAGGGGAAAATGTTACTTTACAGTGAAGAAAACTGGCAGCAGCCACCTTGACCATGCATTTAATGTAACATCAACCATGATGGAGCAAGTCATTATAGTATGTCTCCTGATATAAGGCGCTAAAGTAAGCTCAGGTCACTTCTGTGGTGTTCCTGCCAAAACAGCATGGCTGGGGTCTGGGTATGAGGAAATCTTGCTGGGCCTATGATGAGGGTCCTTCTACAGAATGAAAGTCTTATACTTTGTAAGACTGTCAAGTTCATGAGACAAAGACTGAAGAACTGTTCTAGTTATAAAAAAGATTTTTAAGATATGAAAACTAAATGCAGTTCATGTTTCTGTATAGTAGCCTGAATCAGAAAGGAAAAAAAGAAATTATTGGGACCATCAGCAAAATTGTAATGAATTCTTGAGTTGGATGTTAGCCTTGTATTAAAGTTAATTTCCTGACTAGAAGGGTTGTATTGTAATTAGGAGACTGTCCTTGTTTTATGATGATACACATTAGAATATTTAGGGTGATGGGCATCATGTCATACAGTGACTCTATAGCATATGTTTATACACTTGAACGTGTGTGTGTGTGTGTGTGTAAAACAAATATGGCTAGATAATAACAATTGGAGCATCTAGAGAAGGGGATACAGGAATTCTTCAGACCAATCTTGCAACTTTCCTATAAGTTTGAAGCTATTTTTAAATTTAAAAAATTAAAAAGAAGGGAGGGAGGCCTCTAGATCATGGTTTTGTTTTGTTTCGAGATATTTGTAGTAAGTAAGCCAAGAGAAAACTGATCATCTAACTAGTAATCAAAAAATGCCTTCTAAACAGTAGGATATCCATTTTTGTGAATAAGAGGGGACTAAATGTACATACATGCTTATAAATGCTTACTGTCTTAGTAAGAGTATGTTAACCAGTAAGTACTGGCAGTTATCGCTGGCCTGCATATCACAGCTGGGAGACAGACCTGCTTTTCCCTGTGTACTTGTTAATACTGTTCAGATTTTTCACCAAATGATTGTATTACCTTTTGAAAAAAAATAATTTAGGGGTGCCTGGGTGGCTCAGTTGGTTAAACATCTGACTTTGGCTCAGGCCATGATCTCACAGCTCGTAAGTTCTAGCCCCACGTGGGCTCTATGCTGACAGCTCAGAGCCTGGAGCCTGCTTCAGATTCTTTGTCTCCCTCTGTGTCTCTCTTTGCCCCTCCCCCAACTTGTGTGCTCACTCACTCTCTTTCTCTCTCTCTCTCAAAAAAAAAAACATTAAAAAGTTTTTTAAAAGAAAAAAATAATAATTTAAATATATTTTAAATATAATTTAAAAATAAAATGATGATTTAATGTTTATTTTTGAGAGAGAGGCAGAGTTTGAGCAGGGGAGGGGCAGAGAGAGAAGACACAGAATCCAAAGTAGGCTTCAGGCTCTGAACTGTCAGCACAGACCCCAGCTCAAACTCACCAGCCGTGAGATCATGACCTGAGCTGAAGTCAGATGTTTAACTGACTGAGGCACCTAGGCACCCCAATAATGAAGATATTTTTTATATCTGTTAAGTGAGCTTTATGGCATTTTGAAATTTCCTTCTGTATTCTTTAGCTGCAATGATATGGTATGATCATGTATTACTTGTCAGTGTAAATTGATATAACCCATTTGGAAAGAAATGCAACACTATATGTGTTTGTGAAAACAAAATATGTATATTTTTTATCCCAGATATTATATTCCTTGGAATTTATCCTAAAGATATAACCCAGAAAAAAGAAAATGTGTGTGTAAATTCAAATATGTTTATCACAGTGTTACTTAATTAGCAAACGACAATAATAATAGAAGAAAAATAAAACATACTATCCAATAGGGTAGAATTATAAAGTAAATTATAGTATATCTTTTATTCAGTCATTTAAAATTATAAATATAAAAAGTTTATAGCAACATAGATATTTGGATTACTTGGATTTTTAACTGAAACAGACTAAAATCATATATAGGTAATAATTATTAACCCTGTATAAATATTAATTTCTGTGGGGATAAAGTTTACAGTAAATACAGAAAAAAATGAAGCATTTTGACTGTATTTGGTGGCAGGTTTTGACTTTTTTTGTTTTCTATTAACGTTAAAATGCTTTACTTTGACTTTTTTTAAAAGTTTATTTATTTATTTTGAGAGAGAGAGAGAGCAGGGGAGGGCAGAGACACAGAGAGAGAGAGAGAGAGAGAGAGAGAGAATCCCAACCAGGCTCCTTGCTGTCAGTGTAGAGCCTGATGAAAGGCTTGAACTCACGAACTATGAAAGCATGACCTGAGCCAAAATCAAGAGTTGGATGTTTAACCAATTGAGACACCCAGGCGTCCCTACTTTGATTTTTTTTTAAGCAGGCATGGAAGATAGAATATGTTTCAGACCTATTTCACCCTAAATAACTAAAACAAAAGAAGTTTGGATATTTAAGTTATGGAAATGTTGGTTCTTTGGGTACCTTGTTGAATGAAGCATGCATATAATATTTCAGAGGGATGATTTGAGAATGTAATAATATAATACATGTGCCCTTTAAGACTAGAAAGGAAAAACATGGGGCACCTGGGTGGCTCAGTCAGTTAAGCATCTGACTTCAGCTCAGGTCATGATCTCATGATTTGTGGGTTTGAGTTCTGCTTTGGGCTCTGTGCTGACAGCTTGGAGCCTGGAGCCTGCTTCGGATTCTATGTCTCCTTCTCTCTCTGCCCCTCCCCCACTTGTGCTCTGTCTCTCTCTCTGTGTCTCTCAAAAGTAAATAACTGTAAAAAAAAATTTTTTTTAAAGACTATTATACACATGTTTGTTTTAAAGAAAGAGTTAACACAGTGAAGTAAAAATATCTGAGCTCAGATCTTTGCTCCGTCACTCCAGAACTCCCTAACTGTGTAACAATCTTGAGCCACGCTTTTTACTTGCTGTATACAGTCTTGGGGCGCCTGGGTGGCTCAGTCAGTTGAGCACATCTGACTCTTGATTTCAGCTCAGGTCATGATCCCAGGATCCTGGGATTGAGCTCCACATTGGGCTCCGCACTGACCATGGAGCCTGTTTAATATTCTCAATCTCTCTCTCCCTCTCTCTCTTTCTCTCTCATTCTGATCCCCTCCCTGCTCACACTCTCTCTCTAAAAAAAATTTTTAAATTTAAAATAAAAAAAAAGAATCCAATCTCATCTTCAGCTGTTACTTTAGATAATTTTTAAATTTTGTTAATATTTACTTTTGAGAGAGACAGAGCTTGAGTGGGAGAGGGGCAGAGAGAGAGACACAGGATCTGTAGCAGGCTCCAGGCTCTGAGCTGACAGCACAGAGTCCAATGTGGGGCTCAAACTCATGGACTGCGAGATCATGACCTGAACTGATATCCAATGCTTAACTGACTGAGCCACCCAGGAGCCCCCAAGATGTTACTTATTTTAAAGGCTACTATGAGGAAGACTTTCTGTTACCTTCCTGATTATCTCATACCTGTATTGTAATCCTCGTAGAGCTGATATAACCACTTACAAGATACTCTACGAATACTCTCCTTTAATCATGGCTACCATATATCTTCAAAGATGAAGCTGGTAATTATGATATGAATCATCAAACATGAGCAGAATGTTCCCTGCTAAACTACAAACACCCTGAGGTCACAGTCTGAGAGTGATCATTTCTCTGGCTTCCTTAGTATCTTGCCAAGTGTTCTGCATAGAGTAGGTGCTCAAAGAAATGGTTGCTAAATGAACAAAGAATCTACCAATGTTGCTTTTCTTTGTATATATAGAGGCACTGTGGTTAAATTTGTCAGGAAACCAGTTTGTATGAAAAAAATCTGAAGAGCTTTCCACCCCACTTCCCTTTTCTTTCAGTTTATATACAAGAACTCTTTACCTGAAATACAGGCCAAAAGTGAAGGTAAGTTCCCTTCCTAGGGGTGTACGTGTGTGCGCGCGTGTGCGTGTGTGTGTTGGGGCAGGGGAGGGTATTGGGAGGATGGAACAGAGATGGAAGAAGCGGGTGGGGTGGAAAGGTGGTAGAGAGAGTACCGGCTTTGGAACCAGATGCTCTTGACCTTGGGCAAGTGTGTTCTCTCTAAGCCTTAGTTTTTCTCAACAATAAAATGGAGCTGTTAATAGCTACATTACAGAGTGTTTTAAACATCTGAGATGATTTCAGTGCCCAGCTCATGACTGACAAAGTAGAAACTTGAGCCATTTAAATAAACCAAATAAAAATAGTTTCTGAGATCTGGTGCAACTCTGGAAAGAATATGCTGGACTCAGGCTGCTCATACCAGGACAGTTGTTAGCAAACCCAGGGAGCACCGAGCTGTAGTTCAGCACATGGGTTCTTTTTCAGGGACAGCATGCGACAGTGACCTTCTTTCATTTTGTCCTAACTTGTTTCCAAACAGTTTCTCTTCGGAATCTGGCCAGTGATCCTCTTTGAGCCTCTCAGGAAGCACTGATGAATTATTCCACTAAGAAAACAAAAAAAGCACCTACCATAGGCCTGGCCAAATGAATAAAGAAATCCTTAAAGATCTACACATTCAAATATATCGTGACCATCACAGCAAAGGAGTGATTTTCTAACTAATGCTGCCAGTCACACAGAGAATAAGGAATGGGCTTGTTGGATGTTTAGCTCGTGTCTTTAACTCATTTGTCCTTCTCCTCACACTCACCCTAAGATGTGTAAAAAGAGACAGACATACTGTGTGTGTATATACTTGAATGCTGGAAAAATGAGGCTTTTCTTAACAGGTTAACAGTGTGTGCTGATCATAGGAAATTTAACCTTTTTCCCTTTTTTCACAAGGGTTGCATGTGAATTATACTTTGTTAAATATTTAATTAAGTAATCAAAGCAGTCAGCTAAGTATTGGCAAAACCCCATACCCAGATGGCCAACTGTGGATCCAGGACTTAGCCGTGTCAGCCTCGATTTGTATTCCTGCCATAGTAACCTTGGGAATGGTTCCCCAAGCTGAAAAAGGGCTGTCTGTGGGATTCTGGTCCGCCTCTCTGTCCACCTCTGTGCTAGTCAGTATGTCGTAAGCACGCAGCAGCTGGCCACAAGGTCCCGTGCCAGCCGTATCCCAGATTTGCAGTGGGATCCGGGGTGTTTGTGCGTGGCCATCGCCAGTCAGAGTGGGTCACCTCGTAGTGTTTGTGAAGACCACGAGGACACCTGTGGAATGTTGTGCCTCCAGCCGGTTTAGTTAAAGGTGGTTTCTCTGTTTTCTTTGATCTTTGCAGATCTTTACGTTGTCACTGGTTTTATGGCAAGGCAAACATGATTGGTGGCCTGGCCTACCAATATTCCATCCTCTTGACAGAGCTTATTTGAAGTTACAATGAATGTTGTTACACTCCGCTTTTTGAACTCTGCCATACTTTCCAGTTTTCAGAAAGGCCATGGTTATGCCCAGGGAAATATATCAGGTTAACTAGAGCTAAGATGATCAGGATCCTATTTACATAAAGCTTATTAGAATACCTGCCCCTTCATTTGTTGAAGGAAATAGAAGAGTTGAGAACAGCTTTCACTTACTTGAACTTGTAACAGAGCTCCCCAAAATTAAAATGCTAAAAATTGGCAGTGAAATATCACCACAAAGCAGCTAGTTCTGGTTTGAGTTTGAATATATAACAAATTGAATCGCTTTTCACAAACATAACACCTGTCTGGAGTAAAACCTGATTTGACCCCTTTGCCTGATGTATCACCATATTGGTAGCTCTATACCCTTTAGCACTTTATTATAAAACCCACTTTGTTTTTACCCCATGGTCACATTGACCCAGCTTAGATCCTGAAGCTACAGCTTCAAAAGGAAAATCAGTTTTTTCTTCTGCAAAGGCATAAAAACACTCCTGTCATTTCTCCAGTATCCAGTAAGTCGCCCCGGTACAAATTTAAAACCAGTACAAACTTTGTTGTTTTTCTTCACCTCCTGGCTTTCATTTTAGTCCAAGTACAATTTTCCTTACCAAAGCATGCCAACACGCCATTAGGCATAGACTTCTGCCTACTTCTGTGATCCTCCAGCAAGGAAAGCACTTGCCAAAACAAAGCTAAAGAACTTTGGTTGTGCCTTAAGGAAGTCTAAAACTAAGCAGTTCCAACACACGACCATTCTTTTGCCGCAAGATTCTGACTTCTGGCTACATTTCATGTGCAGCTACCTAAGCTGTCAGCCGTCTTACATTTTTTAAACAGGTTCCTTTGTTTCACACCATTGTCTTTTGTACTTTTCACTCAAGGCAGACTTCTGTGTAAAGAATCTGTGTCTGGCAACAAAGGCACAACCCTCTTGATAGTGCAGTCAGGCGCAGGGAGACAGGTTGTGCGTATCCCCGAGAAGGTGTGGCGAGCCCCGCCCCCGCCCCCCTACCCCACCCCCACCCCGACCCCGACCAGAGCCCTTCCCAGCAGTTTGTTGAATGAACAGTTCAGCCACCACCCCCTGTAGTCACTCGCCGAATGAAGTTGTCCAGCACCTCCGTGGAGAGGTACGGGCACCACTGGGTGACTCGTAACGCTGTGGCCAGTTGTCCAGACACCTTTGTTGCTGCTGTGAAAACAGCTGGCACGAAAGCAGAACGCATGTTAGCAGTGTTGAGCGGAAAGCAGAACTGAACTGAATCTAGGCTCTACGTCTCCGCGTTAGCCTGTGCCTCACGTAGGACTCTCTTTCTAGCATTCTAAGTGTTAGCACACTCAGGACCTCTTTTCTGTGCCAGAGCGACTATTATGGAAATACTGCTGACCTTCAGGATATTACTAAATCAACTTTGTATCAATGGTTTTATTTTTCCCTCCTAGTAGGATTCCGGGTGGGCATTGAAGGGTTGGGTTCCCTTTGTTTTCTCGGCAGACTTCCTGAACTAGAGTATACAAAAACCCATTTCCTGCTGAGCAAACAGTGGTTTGTTTACATATCTGATGTGAAAGGTGCTCCTCTGTGAGTCCTATAGCAAATTACATTTTAGAAAATACTAGTATCTTATGAGGATATGAAAGCAGCTGTTTGCTTGTGCATCTTAATATCCTGCCATTTTCACTCTGGAAAATTGAAAGCAATTTGACTTTTTTTAAAGGAAAACTCAATGAAAGGTGGTTGTCCTGACCTGGTTGGCCCCTCCACCCACCCCTCCCCACTGTGGTGCTTTCGTGAAACTTTGCCAACACCGGAAGTGATCTCTTTTAATTTCTGCGATATCGTATAAATTGATGATTGGTGATAAACTGATGACAAACATCCAGTTTTGAGTAATTTGTACTCAAAGTACTGGTATTTGGTTCAGCAGAATTAGATGAAATATTATGGTTTACCCTAAATGCACAGTTTCCAAGACCGTTAAATTAGCCTTTCCTTACACTAAGAAGGTTTTACTTATACTGATGAAGTGTTGGGGTGATGGTGGTGGTGTAGTCTCAAGCCAACGACCAAGAAGGAATTCTTGAAGACGTCTTTGGTGCAAAAAAGGTGATTTTCTTAAAGCACGGGGACAAGACCCACAGGCAGGAAGAGCTGCATGGGGTCATGATGGGTAACTCATTATATACCCTCAGGTTGGGAGGGGGTCTGGATAGAGTAAGTCTCTAAGGAATTTTGGAAGCAAGGTTTCCAGGATCTTGAGGGGCTAGCTGTTGCTAGGGAAACGCCATTTATTACCATTTAATAAAGCCTCAATTGTGAAATTCTTTAGATGTAAACTTGGAGTATGACTGCCAGCACATATCTTGGGGCAGTTGAGATAAAGTTGACTTACAGGATCCTCAAGGTTGGGATAATGTTAAGCTAAGCAAAGTGTCATCCTTAAGGCAGCTGAGCTAGAGGAAGGTCACTTTATGGGCTTCAAGGACTTGTCTTATCAATGGGCTGTAGGCAGTAAGGGAATTTAATTCTTCATTTGTCTTAGTTTCCCACATCACCATGGCAAGCACATAAACCCCTTCCCTTTGTTTTGGGGTAGCCAGGAGTGTCTGAGGAATATCACACACTTTCCACCTAGTGAGGGGGGAGGGGACTGGTGGCCTGTAGTTTGCCCTCAACTTGCCCCATGCTCTCCTATCAATACTAAGGATAAAGGGTTCAGAGTCAAAATCTAGAGACCAAAAACTTCAGGTACACAATGCATGAAAATCTTTGAATGCCCAAAGAAACTCTATGTTCTATTTTTTAAAAGATCTTATTTTTAAGTAATCTCTATACCCAACATAGGACTCAAACATACAACCCCAAGATCAAGTCACCTGCTCTACTGACTGAGCCAGCCAGGCGCCCCAAAACTATGTTCTGTTTTAATGCCTACTCCTTCAGAATTTAGCCAATGCCCCTTAAAGTGTAACAATTTAGTCTAAGGTTTTCTTATGAGTCCTGTAGGTTCCATATTACTTTGCTCTTAGAAAAAAAACAAATCACGTGTTGCAAAGATTAACAGTTTTAGTTCTCAGTTGCACATTCACATGGCAAAAGAAATTATTTTAACCCTATGGTTTATGATGTGCTCTGGGGAAGTATGTATATAAAACTGGTGTTTAAAGAGAATCAGTTATAATTGGCACTTGCAACTATGTGGCAATTTGCTGATCTACCTCTGTTTTACATTTTGCATCTTATCGGTGCCATAATGTAATTAGCATGATTGTGTTAGTTTGTCTCGTTTTTCAGTGTCTAAAATTACAGCTTATTCACTATGTTATAAACATTTGGAAGTAATGACTAAAATTTGGCTAAAAGTTCAACCCCCTTGTAGAGAGAGCTGTAAAATGAGAAAAAAAAAAAGTCATGGCCTGTCTGAATGGAAAACTTCAGTGCTGTTTTTTAAACTGTTGCACTTTCTTTAAGAATAAGGAAACTTTTAAATGTCTAATTGTAGTTGCTAGATGAGAAGTTGCCAGTTTTGCTGAGGTTCATGTGAGCATGCTGCTGGACTTCACAGTAACCTGTTGCGGAGGAAAAACCTCTCCTTTATCCTCTTAGATTCAGTAGTTGAGGGCCTGTGAATTAAACTGACAAATGAGAGATCAGCAAGAAAGAATGTAGATTTTTATTCACATAATGCAGAGCGTTCAGAGAAAGGTGTGGCTAGAGGCAGGATTTGGGGCTCAGCTACCCTGTTCATAAGGGGAGGGAAGGGAAAGACAGGGCACTGAGGGGTAAACAAGTGACTTTCAGAATGGATAAATGGGGCCTTAGGAGAATAGATGGGAGATAGGATAGTTTTGTGACAGTGTCTGCTTAGTTCTGATACCAGAAGTCCCAGCAAGAGGATTTATAACAGTTGGATTCTTTGGGGGAGGTTCTGCTTTTAGGCAGATAAAGGGAGTTTAGGAAAAAAAAGCTTCTTCCTATATTTGTTGATTCTCAAATGTCTTAGGCTCAAAATAATTGTCATCTCAAAGTGGTGTGTCTCCCCTCACCCTCACATCTAACTTCCTTTATTCCCTCCCTCCCCACCCCCCCACCCCCCCCGTCTAAGACTTCCCAAAACATTTTAAGGGCCAGAAGCTGAGATGGTAGCTGTGGAGAGAAGATTCAGGTTAGAAGTGGGGAGGTAGGAGATCTGCAAAGGGAAAGAAGGCATAGATCCATGGAGAAAGAAAGGGAAACAAAAAATAGTAGTTGGACAGATTATAAACTCAGTTTCTTGAGTCAAGAGGACAGGCAGTCAAAATGATTTCTAGACGTTGGTCACGAAGTGTCTTTCAATAGTAGTCAGGATGGTAGTGGAAGTCTCACAGTTGGGTATTTCAGGA